TAAAAAGTATTGTTTTTTAACCCCATTTTTGCGATTTTTTCGATTTTTACCATAATAAACATGATTCATTCGATTTGTAACTAGACATGTTTTGTAAAAAATTTAATTGCAAACATTTTTTTCGTCTTTCATTTTCGCCTAAAATCAACTCTTGAAAAGATACATAATTAAATAGGAAGAAAAATATGACATTTTTCGAATTTTTTTAACATATTGTGCCGCCAAAAGTTAAACCCACGTTTTTTTATATGCGCATAGAAAAATTTTCATTTCTAGTGATATTTTAAAGCCAAAAAGCTAAAAATCTCCGTGGATATACGATTCACCCAAATATGGACTCATTGAAACAGATACCGTCTGGACTATATTGTTATTGGTATTGTCTAGGGCTAGGGCATAATAAATTTGTTGTTGTTACGGAGCCACCATCATGGTCGCTCTGATAATATTCTTTACCTTATTAATTGATTATTGTGTGGTGCAGATATGATATATGTATAGAAAAATGTGATACTCACTCATTGGCATCGCGATGCCAAAGCTCTTCGAATCTAAGGAGCCGCCCACTTGTTTCAGATCGCATTTGGTTTCTATTTCGTATTCGATTTGAGTAGATTCCATCAGAAAAGCGTAGTTTCCTTTTTGCGATTGAACCCTCTTGACACCGTCATTGTTATGTTTCTCGAAGACGCTGGGCCTGGTCGATTCCATGTTTATCCACATCCTCTTGTAAGTGCTGACGTTGCTATCTTTGAAGAAGCTCATGGTCGATCCCCCGTCCACCACGCCGTATTTAATTTTGGTCTGTTTCGCGAGATCCTCGGCTCCTTTAATGCTGGATTCCATTCTGTCTTTGGTCAGGAAAGCAGCCAGGTTTGCCGTGTAGGAGCTGGTCACGATGAGGGAGAAGAACCACCACATCGAAACCGCCATTCTCGATGATATCCCTCTAGAAATACGAAATGGAACAGCTGAAGTAACGTTAACCATAATTGGGAACATACGTGACATTTTATTTCAATAATAATAGTAGCGTAACAACAACCATTTTGATATTTATTTTGTTAGTTCCAAAAGAGTGGCGTTGAGGGGTCTTCTTGGAATTCTGCCTCAACAAATATCGTACGGACTGTATTAAAGCTTTTCGAATATGTAATAATATATAACTATATCACGCTCGTGAGTCGTATATTTCATTTTGCAAATAAGGCTAAAAAATAAAAAAATTCCAGGTTGCAAATTTGAAATTAAAAAAAAATGATAGATTTCAACATATTATTATGATATCTACCTTGAAAAAAATGCCAAAACGTTCTGGTAATAATAACGCAGTTTATAAATGTTTAATTCAAAAGACATAAATAAACTTCTTCTGTTTATAATTTTTAATCCAATCAATATTTTTTTACTCTCGAGGGCTAGTTTTGTAGGTCTTGTGAAGACGAAAAAAAAGTACTTTACTGTTTTCTCGTGGAAATGAACGGAAAAACGTGAATTTACATATAATTTATACAATTAACCAGCCTGTAAACAATCTTCCCCCAATTTTTATGACTGTGGAGACTAATATGTTATTGTACATAATATTTAGCATATATAGTGATAAATTCAGCTTGCCGAAACTAAAAGTCACGAAATGGTCATTACCCAGCATATTTTCCTGACCTATACAGGGTGTCCGGTAAGTACCTCCTAATCTCTCGGGAGTGTATAGGGGAGGTCAAAATAAAACTAGTCCTTCCTATAATTTTTTCCCTAATGTGCCCCCTAACGGAGTTATGGGGGGTCAAAGGGGTACCTAGAAATTAACGTTTAGGGTTATAACTTTGAAACCACCCTGTATATTTTAATAAAATTTTCGTACGTTGTATTACACATGGAGCTCTACGATTTGATGCTAAAATCAACTTTTTGCTATTATCAGGTGTCCAGAAACGGACTGGCCCTATCACAATTTTTCTCAAAATTTTGACAGAAGTAATTTTATCAAACTGAAAATATTATTATTAGATACTCTGAAGGTTTTTCTTTAAAAATGGTACTCTTTATTTATTTCGAAAAAATGAACGGTTTGCGAGATAAATCGGTTTTGAAAAAAATTGGTAACAAATACAACAACAATTAAAATTTATTTTTTTACAATAAAATCATTCCCGCTAGTGCCAGCCTACAGATTCACCATAAACATTTACTGGTGGTGAATTAAGGGAATGAATAATGCCGTTTCTTGTAAAATCAACATCTATGACCAAAATACATCTACAAATTATTATTGCTCTTGTCTCCATGGAGTTCTTTTCTATTGTTTTCGTTGTTAGACCCTGTTGATTTTAAAGTACTTGTCAAAGGCGCGTGACAGAATAAAAATTCAATTTTATTGTGGTATTCGTTTTAAGCCGTTAGAAATAACATTTAAAAATGGAAGAATATTCCTGTGCAGAATATGCTGATATGCACCTAATTTATGGGGAAGCATTATGCAACTCCGTGGAGGCAAGAAGACTTTATGAGGAAAGGTTTCCGGGTCGACATTTGCCGAGTCCAAAAACTTTTGAAAGAGTTGATCGTAGTTTAAGAGAAACAGGTAAAAAAAAATAGTGAAAAACGTTAGTGAAACTAATTTCTTCCGAATCCTTTATTTAGGAAGCTTTTTGCCACGCCGTGGTGGAGCAGGAGCCCCGAGGAGAGTACGAGACCCTCATGTAGAGGAACAAATATTGGAAGACGTTGCTAATAATCCTTCAAATAGCATAAGGAAGCTTGCGGCGCAAAACAATGTTACAAAATGGGCTGTACATGAAACTCTGAAAGAACAATTGCTTTACCCGTACCACATCCAAAAAGTACATGCTATGTCTCCAGATGATTATCCAAAAAGACTTCAATACGCCAATTGGTTTTTACAGCATCATATTCGGAATCATAATTTTGGTACATCTATTTTGTTCACCGATGAAGCAGGTTTTACAAGAGACGGCATAATTAATTCGCATAATCTACATGTCTGGGATGAAGAAAACCCTCACGCTTTAGTTCAAACTCGCTACCAACAAAGGTTTATGGTGAATGTGTGGGCTGGCATTATCGGGAATCATTTGATTGGTCCATTTATTCTGGAGCAAAGACTTAATGGTGCTCTTTATTTGCAATTTTTAGAGGAAAATCTAAATATTTTGTTAGAAGAAGTGCCCCTTCAAATAAGAACTGAAATGTGGTACATGCATGACGGTGCACCACCCCACTTTGATCGTTTAGTACGTCAACATCTGACGAATGTTTTTGGTGATCGATGGATAGGTCGAGGCGGACCTGTATTATGGCCACCTAGGTCGCCCGACCTAAACCCATTAGACTTTTTTCTGTGGGGTCATTTAAAAAATAACGTTTATTCAACACCCGTAAATAGTAGAGAGGAACTTCTGCTGAGGCTAACACAGAACTGTGACCATCTCCGCAATAATCACGGAATATTATTTCAAGTGCACCGGGAAAACATTCGTAGGATTAGAAAGTGCATTGAAGTACGGGGTGCTCATTTTGAACATCTACCGAAGTAACATTTAGGTACCTTTGTTCATTGTTGAATGTTCTTTGTTGCATGTCTTGTAAGTAAGTTATTTTTCAAATGTTATTTTTAATTGGTCACTACTTGCTCATAAAGTATAGCCAACCCGTTCAAAGATTTCTGGACTTGATAAAGTTAAAGAAATTAAATGCATGAAATAATATGTAAAAAAAATAAATTTTAATTGTTGTTTTTGTTACCAATTTTTTTCAAAACCGATTTATCTCGCAAACCGTTCATTTTTTCGAAATAAATAAAGAGTACCATTTTTAAAGAAAAACCTTCAGAGTATCTAATAATAATATTTTCAGTTTGATAAAATTACTTCTGTCAAAATTTTGAGAAAAATTGTGATAGGGCCAGTCCGTTTCTGGACACCTGATAATAGCAAAAAGTTGATTTTAGCATCAAATCGTAGAGCTCCATGTGTAATACAACGTACGAAAATTTTATTAAAATATACAGGGTGGTTTCAAAGTTATAACCCTAAACGTTAATTTCTAGGTACCCCTTTGACCCCCCATAACTCCGTTAGGGGGCACATTAGGAAAAAAATTATAGGAAGGACTAGTTTTATTTTGACCTCCCCTATACACTCTCGAGAGATTAGGAGGTACTTACCGGACACCCTGTATGTAGGCAGCTAGGTGCCAGTTGAGAGTAAAGACTTACTTTGGCAATATATCGCAGCCTTGCGTCATTATGGACCCCAAGGTTAACCACAGGCAGTTCTTGATGCTCCATATATTTTCCAGTTCCTCTGGATTTTCATTGCACGGGTGCGGATTTTCCCAATCTCCAGGAGTCATCCTGGTCAACGAAATTGTTTTAGAATGTACTTTATTGATGTACTTCCTTACCTCGATATGAAATATAATACGACAGAAATAACCAGATACAATGTGGCTGTATATATCCAGATGGGCATCGAAAAGGGATCTAAGAAGGCGAACATGTTGATGTCCTCTTCTGCTTCTTCTTTATATAAAATGCTTATACCTGCAATAATCGCACAAATACGAAACATGCAGCTTGTAATAAATTACTGCTAAAATACAGGGTGTCCCAATGGAAGTGTACAAAAATGTACTAGACCAAAATAAGGTTAAAATTCTTATGAAACATTTTTCTGCGATGCACTTTCACTGAGTTACAGGGTGTTGTTTAGAAAAAAATAATAACAACTTTCCGCAATAACTCAAAAATCCTTTCAGGGATTTAAGTAATTTTTGGGTGAAGTGTACATCTATTAAAGGTCATTAAAACTAAAAGGTGCTTATTTCGTTCTGACGCCAGGGGCGGCCTAGGCCAGCTTGTCCTCAAGGTTATGTCTTCATAACTTTTGCATATCCTAGTTTGATGAAATTTGATTGCATTTTCCTGAATCTGCAATCGATTCTGAACTAAAAATGTGCTCTTGTTTCATGTCTCAAAAATGAACCGTTTTTTTTTTTCTAAACACCCTGTAATTCAGTGATAGTGCATCGCAGAAAAAAATATTTTATAAGAATTTTAATGTTATTTTGGTCTGGTCTACCCCCTGGTAAATTTTTGTACGCTGACACTGGGACGCCCTGAGTACATTTTGCATACCTAAACTCATAAATGGGGTGCTGAAATCAACAGCTTCTCTTCTTTGATGAGTGATTGTCAAGTCGCAAATGGCTAGTTGTGCCCTCTAGAAGTGATAAAAGCTTTAATTAAGGAACAATTATATACTGGTTCATTGCTACCCCCTCTAAGAGATCTCCAACTAGTCCCGTCCATCTCTTTTGGCTTTCATCCCATTTGCCGTATTGTCCGTCTTTAGTTAAATGAAATTCAAATCTGAAGCCGATAATATTTGCTATTTCTTGGATTAAATCCATCGAGTAACCTTCATACCTGTCGTTTCCATACAATGTCTTACCCTCTTCAGGGGTTTTCTTCATTAAATAAGGGTCACCAAGCCTGAAATATTCAGTGTTAGCGTCACCATTATAAAGCGTATCCCAATATTCCGTATAAATGCAGCTAAGTACTGAGGTTTAACTCGATCCTAGGTTGCTTCGTTTAGTCGCTAGAGGGCATCAAAGTAAACATAAAAATTTTCTTTTCTCAGGAGTTCAGATTAATGCAGAAGCAGTATAGCAAAAGTACAGCGAACAGAGTAGCCCCCGAACAACTAACTCATATTTTTCGTGTTCACCCAGTTCAACAATTTCTACCTCTTTATCTTGCCAATGCTCGTCTTCAATTCTCACGAGTATTCGCCAATACAGAACTGGAGATATGACCTACAAAAACATTCTTTTCATGGACAGAGTCGTGGAATAATAAATCTGCATAACCATGTATACGCAGATGAAAATCCGCAGGTATTTTATGGAAAGACATTTTCAGCATGAATTTAGTATAAAAGTGTGAAGTGTGGATTGGTTTTATCAGTAACTTGGTCCTATTAAATTACCAAATCGATGACATCTGTTATTTAGACTTTCACATGTATCTGATGTGTACGAAGCACCACCGCACTTCAGTTGCAATGTAAGAGAACATTTAAATGATCTGTATCCTGACAGATGGGTAGCTAGGATCCAATTCACTGGCCAGTTGGCCACCAAGTTCACCTGACTTAAATACCTGTGATTTTTTTTACTTGGTAGGGCTTAAACAGAGAGGGAACTCTGCGAGTATTAATAGCGAGGGGCAACTGTATGACAAGATTGAAGATGGTGTTCATAATTTTCAGAATGAAGGAATACCGAGAGTGCATTTTAATTTTTTGTGTAGAATTAATTTATGTATACTGAAATCGGTGGTCATTTAAACCGTTCTTATGAGACAACAGTCTATTATAAGTCGTTTTGCTTTTGTTATCAAATAAATTACTTATCAAATGTAATTATTTAAGTTTGAATTACCTATTATAAAAAAATTCACCTAGAACTATTAGAAATACAAAACATTTACAAGAGCTAACATNTAGTCGCTAGAGGGCATCAAAGTAAACATAAAAATTTTCTTTTCTCAGGAGTTCAGATTAATGCAGAAGCAGTATAGCAAAAGTACAGCGAACAGAGTAGCCCCCGAACAACTAACTCATATTTTTCGTGTTCACCCAGTTCAACAATTTCTACCTCTTCATCTTGCCAATGCTCGTCTTCAATTCTCACGAGTATTCGCCAATACAGAACTGGAGATATGACCTACAAAAACATTCTTTTCATGGACAGAGTCGTGGAATAATAAATCTGCATAACCATGTATACGCAGATGAAAATCCGCAGGTATTTTATGGAAAGACATTTTCAGCATGAATTTAGTATAAAAGTGTGAAGTGTGGATTGGTTTTATCAGTAACTTGGTCCTATTAAATTACCAAATCGATGACATCTGTTATTTAGACTTTCACATGTATCTGATGTGTACGAAGCACCACCGCACTTCAGTTGCAATGTAAGAGAACATTTAAATGATCTGTATCCTGACAGATGGGTAGCTAGGATCCAATTCACTGGCCACTTGGCCACCATGTTCACCTGAATTAAATACCTGTGATTTTTTTTACTTGGTAGGGCTTAAACAGAAAGGGAACTCTGCGAGTATTAATAGCGAGGGGCAATTGTATGACAAGATTGAAGATGGTGTTCATAATTTTCAGAATGAAGGAATACCGAGAGTGCATTTTAATTTTTTGTGTAGAATTAATTTATGTATAGTGAAATCGGTGGTCATTTAAACCGTTCTTATGAGACAACAGTCTATTATAAGTCGTTTTGCTTTTGTTATCAAATAAATTACTTATCAAATGTAATTATTTAAGTTTGAATTACCTATTATAAAAAAATTCACCTAGAACTATTAGAAATACAAAACATTTACAAGAGCTAACATTTTTTAATGAATCCTTCATCTTTAACGCACGACCCCGGAGAAGATTATGAGCAGATTAGGTCAAGGAAGGGCGTATTTTTCACAATTCTGTTAATCCACTGCCTCACTTTACTATGCGTACTAAATTTCAACGGAATCTTACGAGGCGCTCCAAAGGCAATTTATTTTGCTAAACTTTGATGCCCAATAGCAACTTAGGATAGAGGTATATAGTACGATCATATTCGATGCAAAGTAATAAATCATTGCCTGTCAAGGGAACCAATGAAGTACGCCTTTAAGGGTTTTACAAATTGAATAATTTCTTTATACATTATGAAGGGACGAGGGGATCAGTTCAGGTCTGGCACCCTTGTTCCTACAAAAATTCCTTTATTCTCATAAACTATTTATTTTAAATGTAATTTATTATAAATCCAATTTGTTTCCTAAATTCCACATATGTACTACATTTTACCTCTGTACGCGCCACTGTTGTTTACTTGTTTTTTGGAAGCGCTCTCTAATTGACGGCAAAGCTCGCCAGGTTAGTATTTGACGTATAACCGACCAGTTCGTACACTCGATGCACCTGGGCGACTACAGCTACTACCAGAACACAGTGCGTATGCAGCGGTATTTCAGATTTTACATTGAATTTCATTTTAAATTTGAAATGATTTATCTTACGCCTCCTAAAAATGATGACACGATTTTCCTTTGATAAAAGGCCGACAATTTTTTGCTCTACTTTGCATCGTATACGATCCTACTATAAGTCGGTTCATTATGTGGAATATTGAGACCGGTATACAGGGCAATAGAGGGCACGAAAATAAGCAACTTTAATTCAGCAATTGATGGTCTAAATGTTTCTGTTTCCGAGAAAATTAACTAAGAAAATTAACCATAAACGTAAGTCGACCCTGTGCATCTTGTGCACGTGCGTTGTTTGTTCCAGGATTACAAAGGGTTTAGGCATTAAATAACAATGATTTTCAGCCTCGTGTGGAATTTTGCTAGTGATTTCGATATCAAATTGCGTAAGGTCTGTATTTTACAAGCAAGGTGATTTTTACGGATGAATATTATTTTAGTAGGGATAACATAATAAATTTTCACAACATTCACTATTGGTGTGATGCAAATCCTCACGTTGTACACAGTGGCGTACCTAGAACTTTTGCGGTCGCCAATTTGCCGACCTTTCTAAGCCAATCAAATGGTGGCTTTTATAAATTAATAAACATAAATAAATAATTGTAATTGAGACAAGCTATAAGTGGGGAACTTTTTTACCATTGGATGCCATATTTAAATTAGGCAGTAATAAAGGAGGCAGCATAAGTTGATATAGGTACCTATAAGTGCTATAAATGAACTTTTATAAAGATACTTTTTTAAAGGCCACAAAAAACTTACGGACGTCGCAGGTTCTCCACCGTTAAGACAAAACATATTCACGCAAAAAAAATTCTTGCTTCAAATGTACAACTTTTGAATTTAAGGTATCGCACGTTTATACAGGGTGGGCCATTAATGTGCAAAAGTAAATTAACTCCCTATTGTTACTCATAATACAGAAAAAAAGTTGTATATATAATAGTTGTACAGAATCAAGAAATCTAAACTACAAAATTAATTTGAAACATACAGGGCGATGAGTAAAAAAACGGGACACGCCAAATATTACATTTTTTAAATGGAACACCCTGCATATTTTTAAACATATGGATTTCCGAGAAAATTCTATATATGGCAATATAAACAGTTTATCATTTTAGTGCGGGGTTGCCAAGTTATGCAGAAAATTCTTTGAATTTTGAAAAAAATATGACTTCGAAGAAGTTGTATTAACTTTCAGCTACTAACACTTGGAGCAAAATATTTAGACATAGTTGTAGGCAAATGTTAGATAAAGGCTCCTATATTAGCTAATATTGATACTTTATACAGGGCATTTTTTATAATACGATCATTTTTATAAGGTTCTAAAATTTTTCAAATAGAAAACCCTGCATTTTATTCACATATCGGTCCACTTCAACTTTTATTAAGCATGTTCTATATCTAAAATTGTTAGTTTTTAGATATAGCAACATTTCTGAAAAAACTTAACTTTTATTATTTTATAGAATAATACAAATAAATATTAAATAATAAAATTAATTCAAAATGGAATGATAAACTATTAACTGACAAGTTGACACAATGTGACAATTTTTTCTAAAGCCATTTCGTGCGACCGAAAATAATAAAAATTAGGTTCTCCAGATATGTTGCTATATTTTAAAAACTAACAACTTTAGGTGTAGAACATATTTAATAAAAGTTGATGTGGACTGATATGTGAATAAAATAGGACAATAAAATGCAGGGTGTTCCATTTGAAAATTTTTTAAAAATCAAGTCTAAAAATGATCGAATTATAAAAAATGCCCTGTATAAAATATCGATATTAGCTAGTATAGGAACCTTTGTCTAACAATTGTCTATAACTCTGTCAAATATTTTTACTCCAAGTGTTAGTAGTTGATAGCTAATACAACTTCTTCGAGGTCATTTTTTTTTCAAAAAAGAATTTCATCAAAGAATTTTCTACATAACCCCGCATTAAAATGTTAAACTGTTTAATTTAATATGTTTAAAAATATACAGGGTGTTCCATTTAAAAAATGTTATATTTGACGTGTTCCGTTTTTACTAACCGCCCTGTATCTTTCCAATTAATTTTGTCCTTTAGGTTTTTGGTTTTTTGATTCTGTACAACTTTTATATAAACTTTTTTTCTGTATTAAGAACAACAAGGGGGTTATTTTACTTTCTCACACTATTGACCCAACTAGGATTGTTCGTAAGCCTAACTAACCAGACATAGGTCGGTTTGGGACTTATTGTTATTGATTGCTCCTCATCATTAGCTTTAGTGTCGTTACTCACAAGGAGATGTGTATACACAGAGCGTAAGCGGCTCCATCTATCGTGCTACTTCCAACCTACGCCATTCTGTAACCTGCTACAATTTTCTTTCAAGAAAACATAAGTTTGATAAAATTCTTAATAAAAGTTGCTTATTTTCGTGCCCCCAATCACATATTTCAGGAACACCCTGTATGAACATCGCATTTTGGTACTACATTTGCCCGCGTAAATAAATTAATTATAATTATAATTATAATTATAATAAATTAATAAGTTTAATTTGCTTAAATACGCTTTTATCAAGAAAATTGGAGAATTGTTTGTAATTTATCTTATAAGTTTTAATTTTACTCACACGCACATCATTTGCATTTTACCTGGACGTCACATTCACGACAATCTTTTGGAGATTTGTGACTGCCGCGAATTCCCTTTCGTTGGAGTTTCTGCGCAAAACCAGCGACGAGTTGCTTGCGTACCAATCCGCAAGTATCTGGTTTTCAATAACATCCACCACGTGTATGTTAAAATCGATGCGATTTCCATAATTGTCGAATTCTATAGGGCCAGATAGGGTCAGCAAAGGTTTTCTCTACTCAGGAAATTACAAATTCGCCGTTAGAAAAAAATATTACTGTTGGGACAGGTACGGAATTTAGACGTTTGTCACTTAAGTGCTCACCTCTTTCATGTACGATGCAAAGGTGTATCCGTTTCTGGAGGTTGTGCTTCCAAAGCAGTTGATGGAGTTGGACCTTATGCTCTTCTCGGTCTTTAATAATTCGTTTATGGAAGTGGTGAGGTGCAGCAGTGCGTCGTGGAAAAGCACCGTTTCCGTCTGTAAGTGAATTTATACCGGGTGTTTAAAAAATACACGTAAATATCTCTTAAGGGCTTAATGAAAAAGTTTTTCAAATAAAAGTTGTAGGGTTTTGAGGGGGACATCTAATGGTGACCTTGTTCATGACCTTCAAGGTCATTTCGAGGTCACGTAGATTTTTTCAAATGGAAACATATTTTTGCCACCAGAAATGAAAAGAGCAGAAAATTCTACATCCGACTTTGACCTTGACCTTCAGGGTCATTTGAAGGTCATTTTAGATTTTGTTGCAGAATTCTACTTTTGAGTTCAGAAATGAGCAGAGCGGGCCATTTCACGTTGATCTATGACGTTGACCTTGATCTTCAAGGTCATTTCAAGGTCAAGTAGATTTTTTTAATAGAAACATATTTTTGACACCAGAAATGAAACGAGCAGAAAACTCTGCATCCGACTATGACCTTGACTATGATCTTCAAGGTCGTTTGAAAGTCATTTGAAGGTCATTTTAGTTTTTTTGGCAAAACTCTACTTTTGAGACCAGAAATGATAAGAGCGGGCCATTTCTCGTCCATCTATGACATTGACCTTGACCTTCACGGTCATTTCAAGGTCAAGTTAATTTTTCAAATAGAAATCGGTATCTTTCAGACCAAAATAGAAAGTGAAAAGAATTTTGCTTGTCCTTAAGTTTCAAAAGTCATTTGAAGGTCATTCTAGTGTTTTGCAGGCAAAACTTTAATCTTGTTCATATTTTTCTTTTTGATATGTGGGGCTCGCCATAATTTTCCAGAATATCCATTAACCATTTTCAAATTTTGACTTCGTATTTGCGATCAGCGCCTGAGTACACTATTCGGCAAGAAGGAAATGAATTTTGCAACAAAAAACTAAAAGGACCTTCAAATGACCTTCAAATGCCCTTGAAGGTCATGGTCAAGGTCATCATCGGATGTAAAATTTTCTGCTGTTTTCATTTCTCGTGTCAAAAATATGTGTTTCCATTTGAAAAAAATCAACTTGACCTTGAGGGTCATGGTCAAGGTCACCATTAGATGTCCCCCTCAAAACCCTACAACTTTTATTTGAAACATTTTTTCATTAAGCCCTTAACTTAAGAGATATTCACGTGTATTTTTTAAAATGGGACACGCGGTATAATTTGTATATAATTGTTGCCAAATAGAAGGCAGTTTTTTCCCTAATAAACAAATACATAAAATGGTGGTTTTTAACTTTTGAAAGAATTTATATACACCATTCGAAAGCTCGTAAAAAACCTACAAATTGAAAAAAAAACAAGTTTCTATGACCAATAGGTCCGGAGATGGTTATATACAACTAAATTAGAAAAAAAAATAATTTTTTTTTAACTAGAGGATATTTGGTGTCCCTTCGAAGAAAATGAGCCCAAAAAGAAGGTTTTAGTCATAACGCTGCCCCCGGAATAGTTATTTGAAAATGGTCCTTTTTTGCAAAAATGGGATAAATAAATGGAATTTTGCAAAAACTATTTGACCGATCGAGCCCATCGTTTGCACATCTCTTAAGGATATAAAAACTCACATTTTGGGAAAGTTTGGTAAGGTTTTATTAATTATTTAAAAAGTTATTAACAATTAGAGAAAAAGCATTTTTTCCGTTTAACTTTGCAATAGCTTTTTTGTTTATAAAGCAATTTTAACATATAAAGTCTCATTTTAAAGATGAGTTTCTCTAGATCAAATCCTCTGTTGAACTTTTTCGCTAAGATTAATAGTTTATTTACAATAACGGGTAAAACGAAAATTGACGAATTTTTGACCTATTTGTTGATAAAAAACAATGACGCTATACCTTTTTCATTACCCATTTGATGAGACGCCTTTTGTATTATCATTCCCAAGACTTTCCAACAATAAAATCTCGCCCAATAATTAATAAATTTCAAAATGTTTTTTTTCCTGGTCTATAAAATTGTTTCGTACAAACACAAAAAAAATTAAGTATAATTTTTCCTAAATAGTTGAGAAACATAATTTTTGATCAAGAACCACTGAAGATATAAATCTCGAATTTGGTATGGTAGCTACTTTCACGAAAAATTTCAACAAAAATCGACAGTGGCGTCATATTAAGAGGAATTTGAGGGATTTCAAGTTTGAAGTCTATATCTTCAATAGATCTTGAGCGACTGTGGTCAGAAACCGTCTGCCTGAACTAAAGTTTGTGGAATACGAACGAATTTGAAACGATTTCAATTCCCTTCGCTCGAAAATAACTTACCCTGATCTGATGCCCCTCAAGAGAAATCATCTTGTCGTAACTGTTGAGCAGCTTCCATCTCTCCAAAATGTTGTTAAAGTCTTCAGTGTTATAATTAAAGAGCCTTATAGTAGTTATATTTGCAGCGGTGCGCAATTCTGTGTAATTCAGTGTGTGCGCGTCCTGGAACGATTTCAATTTTGTGATACAAAAATCTGTTAATATGTTAAAATCAGTCATTTGAAATCATGTTAAAAGTGGCTAGTCGTATTTCACAGATATTTCTTTTTAATCTTTATGTATTGTACAGTGTCTCAAAGTCGATAGTATGAGCCTACTGTAAGGATACAAAAAATTTAAATTAAATTTGGAACACGTGATGTTAAATGGGATGAGGTAAGCTCCATTTGCAATCGAAAGTATTATCTTTGGGATTTGACAGAAACGACTAATGACGTCATCATATTTTTCCAGAAACATACCTAAATTTTTGTCCTGTCTTTCTTTTTTCTAATAAACTTTTCTTACAGAAATTTTTCTGTATTAATATCTCGCGAAGGTGTTTTGTAAACCTTATTTGTTAAAACTCCCCATAAAAAAATCGACGGGTGTTAGATCTGTTGTCTTTCCCGACCACTGAATAGGTCCATTAAGACCTATCCATTTTATGGGAAAACGTTATCTAAATATTGCTGCACAATTCTGGTCGGTCTTGTGGGGTGGATCTGCAAAGCCATATTTTCCAGAAGTGCGGAAAGTCCTTTTTGTAGGAAATTTAGGTAATTCACGCTTTTCAATGTACGTTCATAAAAATTAGTGCTGGCAACTGAAATCGGTTTTTTGGATAGTCGGTTAACCGGATACGGATAATTCGGATTTTTACGTAACCCGAAAACCGGTTATTCGATACTTCAAATATCCGATTATTCAAATAATCGATTATTTGATAATGTGTTCATTTAAAACATCCGAAAAATCGAATTCTTACTTTATAGCCAATATCTAAATAACATTATAATATAGTCTTAGTATTATGTAGTTATTGACATTGGCTAGATAGTACATACATAGTAAATGCCAACTACAAAAATTAGGTTGAACGATTAAATGAAATACATTTTATTTTTATATTTTATCCTGAGACACAGACACAGATACTGACAAAAAAACAATCACCCACATCCAAATACACCAAAAACCAAACAACCAAACCCATTGATATAAATAATAAATTGAACAACCACAGTTTATTAAATGTAACTGTTTTAACTGTTTTAGCGTTTTAACTTTTAATATTAGATTTAACTTTAAAATTTAAAATACGTGAATAGGTGAATAACATCGTATATCCTGTAATTTTTTCAAAATACCGATTTTCAGATATACAGTGTTGGCCATTATTCTAATAACCGGTTATTCGGTTATTCTAATAACCGGTTTTAGGATATCCTGTTTTAACCACTATTCGACTAATCGGTTTTATCTTAAATCGGTTTTTGCGGAATTTGAGCTATAAAATTAAGTCTGTTTTCAATGTGACGCTCAGGCAAATATTCCAAATTGTGAATTGTGTAGTCATGACACCCACTGGTTTTTAAAATTCGTTGAACGGCTGATTTATCCAATTTCAATTCCCGGCTAGCCTGCCGTATAGAATTTCGTGGATTTTGTTCGAAATACTGTAACAGTCTAGCTGTATTAACATTGTTTCTTACCCTTCGGTCAATTATTTGATTTTTCTGAACAGAAAATGCATCTTCATTTCGTCGCAAGGTCGCCTCCAATCTTGTAAAGGTTCTATGATCAGGAAAGAGGCGCTCTGGATACCTTTCTCAATATAACTCTACAGCTCTTCTGTAATTTTTTGTGACTCGTTGTAAACTAGCAACATATCAACTTTTTCTGAATGAGAAAACATTTTGCAAGCACAAAAGTTATATGTTTGACGTTCGTATTGAGTAATGGCAAGTATTTTGTGACATTTATGCACTTTAAACTACGTAAATTCAATTATTTTCCAACGACTACTTGATCCTTCCACCGCTAATGTGATTATTAGTCGTTTCTGTCAAATCTCAAAGATAATACTTTCGATTGAAAATGGAGCTTACCTCATCCCATTTGACACCACGTATCCCAAATTTTATTTAAATTTTTTGTATCCTCACAGTAGGCCCATACTATCGACTTTGAGGCACCCTGTACATACCCAATCGCCTTTTTGAAATTTATATGTTGATGACCAATTAAACCAAATAAACAAATTACAATTCAAAACTTTGTTAAATATTTAGACGAGCCGAGATTATTAATTAGCGTCCAATTGGCCAAGGAATAACTAGGGAGAGAAGGGCTAATGGGGAAAACAGGATGCGATTAACTTACCAATGATGTTAAAAAGTAGTTGTTATTTATATTTAATAAGTTCTGATCTTTAGCTTGCTTTAGGATTGGTATTATGTGTTCTGTTTCACAATCCAAAATTATGTTGGTTTCCGAGGCATTCTTTATTTCTTTCAGTAATGACCTGAAACAAACAGCAATAACCAATAATTTTTTAAGTTTGCATAACAACTACTACACTTTTTGATTAGTAATGTTTATTTTAATAAAGATCTTTTTTTGCATTCGTTCCGAATCAATGAAATTCAGTTTCATCTGTTTTTTACAGGTCTGAATAATATATTTAATTTTTAACACGGAAAGTGCATCCTTGCTGATCTAGATAGGAAAACGATACGAGAGCTCAGTAAAGTAACGCAACTTAGCTTTTACGTCAAAACTTGCAATAAAAACAAAATAGTCTGTTAGCAGAGGTTTATTAGTCCAGTCACTGAACACTGAAGCATTTTGGCTACCAATTTTTTCGGATGGAATGGATTGATGTGAAATTTGAATTGTAGCTAGGGAATAGCCCAAGAAACAAAAGTTATATAGTGCCGATGTATGCTTTTACCCTAGGGGTGGATGCCACCCCTTCTGGAGGGTGGGAATTTTTTTTAATAAAAATAACAATTCGATACAGGGACGAATTCTAAGCAAAAAATGTTCTATAAGTATTTTTTATACAGTCAATACTTTTTGAGTTATTTGCGCCTAAACATGTTCGTTTTTAGCCCAAAAAATGCATGTTTTTTAGTCATTTTTCGTGAATATCTCAAAAACTACAAGTTTTATTTAAATAGCAAAGAGATTGCTTTTTTAATTTTTGTAGGTGGTATAGAACCCGAGCTATGACTCCCAGAAGTTGAAGTCAATTTCGAAGATAGCTATAACCAAAACGTTCAACGTCCTGTAGCGGAAAAATTAAAGGTTTTTCGAGGAAAATTTATATAACACTATACCATCATCTCTGTGTATTTTGAAGTACTTGTGAACTGATTTGAGTAAGTATTTTAATACTATTTATAATATTTGATATAAATTTAATAAAAAGATTTTGAGAATAAATTCAATAAAATAAAAAAATAATATTATATCATCATACATATAATTTTTAGGAAATTTTTCTATAAGGGTAGGGTTTTTTATGAGGGGTAGGTCTTCCATAAGGGTTTTTTGGGTAGCTGAAAAGTTGCAATATATCATAGATCATTTGAAAACCAATACAAAGTTTATAATTCAACATTTATGCAAAACATCTCAAGCTTTCAATAGTATTTTTTTGTTTATTTTATTATAAGGGATGGTTTGGTTGCAACTTTGTAATGAGTCGTAAGCTTTCTAATGAATAACAAAAGAAATGCAATGCATTGTGAATGCACCAAAAAAATATTTGAAACTGTTAAAAACTTTTTTTTTCTACCTTTTGGCCCTGGAAGGGTAGTTTCTAAGAATTTTTAAGGGTTGAAAAGTAATTAAATTTCATAAATTATATAAAAAAAACATGAAAGGAACTTATCCAACATATTTGAACATGAATTGAATCTTTAAAATACGTAAATCTGCTATTTTCGTATTTTTTTCGCACAAGGGTAATTTTCAGCCCCAAATAGAAAAAAGCACACATCTAGACAATATAACTTTTGAAGAGGGGGATCAGATGAGCTTGTATGCAAATTTTGAGGAAAATCCATGCTATCCGAATGGACTATATGACATTTTGACACATATTTTAAAAGTCTAACATTAAAGCAGTAATTGTAAAAAGTGATTACCGATGGTCGTCACCTGGGCCTAACTGCTTAACTCGAATATTATTATGCTTGCTGTCGTGTGAGATGTCCTGAAGCTTTAAGATGTCCTGCATCCTGACGAGGCCTTCTTCGTGTTCGTAGACGATGACGAAGCTGCTCCACTGCAAGCTCCTCACCACTTCTGCTAGTGCTTGCGAGAAGAGTTCTGCTTTCGGAAAGAAATTGAAAACAGTCTCGACTTGTCTAGTAGTAGGAGCTTTCCATGAAGTCATGAAGAATGGCACTTCGAACTGGGCGCATATCGATTCCAGTAGGGCGATCGTCGGTGAATTCAGGCTTATCACTGCTGCGACTCCGTCGTCTTCTGCCAATATTTTACATACTGCAAAGTACGGAGCCTTCGTAAATGATTACAAGCCATGTGATCGTCGAGCATACGCAACCAGCATTGCACGATTGGCACCATCGGCTAAAAATCCCTAAAGCTTGGAACACGCAAAAATGTTTAAAAAATTTTAAAAAATACCTATTTTGTCTGGTTTTTTACTTATATCTTGGAACCTATAAAACCGTAAACAGTAAATTTTTAAAGTTAACACTCTTTTTTATTTTTAAACAATCAGATTACATTTATCAATGTGCAATTTAAATTTTTTTTGAAAGATTATAATTTTAAAGTACTCGGAAAGGCGCTTCTTTTAAAAAAAGTTAAATTCCGTTTATTGGTTCTCGATATATGTATAAGCAGTCAAAGTTTATCGGCTTTACCGTTAATTTATAAACAATTTAGCAATAATCTTTGATCCAGTGGCTTAGTTTTTTCGAGTTCTAAGGTGGAAAAAATTTTCATATCGATAAGTTATCGGCAACATGGATAAATCAGCGGAAAAGCTGTCGCTCGCACGCGCGAAAAGTGACTCAAAACACGAAAAGTGGGGGAGGGGGCTTTCGCTCCTAGACTGAATTCGGAGGTTCAAAATGCAAAAGTACGAAAAAAATTGCATTATCTCGGCTTCTAATGGACCAATTTCGATATTTTTTTTTATTCCGATGTCTCGTGAGCTAAGGAATTCGAATATCGTAATGCCAATTGTCTAATTTGCAAATATTTTGTTATAAACAAAGTTTATTATTTATGCATTAAATATACTGTTTATTTTACCCTATTCTATCGCATTTTTTCAATGAAAAAAATTGTTTACGTATATATTTCAACACTCTGAATATGAATATATTTTGTTATAATTATTACAATTATTTAAATAATTTTTGTTTANAATTTTTTTTATTTAGAAATTAATTTTTTTGTTAAATACAGATAAAATTAAGAAAAAATAGTACCTTAAAATTATAATTTTTGAAAAAAACTAAATTGCAAATTGATAAATGTAATCTAATTGTTTAAAAATAAGAAAAACAGTGTTAACTTTAAAGATTTACTGTGGCTGTCTTAACCAACCGATTTCAATTTTTCCAAAACAATTTGGAAGGTTGAGCGGTCTATTCTATATGAAAAAATTTTCAAGTATCTAGATTCTTTATTTAAGGCTGTGCAACATTTTGAAAAGTCGAACATTTTTTTTCAATTTTTTTTTCAAATAATTATTTTGCGAAAACTATTGAACCGATTTTATTGAAATTTGGTGTGTTGTTTTGTTATACTCTATAGTTTTTTTTACCAAAATTATAATGCCCTCGGAGCAATTAAAATACTTTAAAAATATTATTCAAAAAAACTTTGATTATTTTGCCTTTTTTCATCAATTATTGCTATTTTGCAACATCGGTAATAAATTTTTAACTTTCAGTATAATGTGCAAAATTCAATTCTAAAACTTTTTTCCTCTTCAATATTCTTCCAAAATGCATAGGTTCCAAGATATAAGTAAAAAAACCCGGAGGCATTTTTTAAACATTTTTACAATTTTGAAAATGTTCCGGACCTCGCACAGATCTAGGGATCTCTACACTTTTATTAGGAGAGTTGTACTGAAGGTAATCCAGAAAAAAATTTACTTGCCACTTCTCACATCCACCTCAAAAGAGATCCCCCTCATCCCGATCAACGTTTTTCCATTCAAGGTCACCGAAAACGACCGAATGAATTCAATATCAGTCCCCACAATAGAATGAAACTGCTGGTTTGCAAACTCTGTGGTTCGTGTTAGTTGCGACCTACTTTTGTATTTCAATCAGTATTCGTCACACAGATGAAAGTGGGAATATCGTTTGATGTTTGCAGACAACACCCAGATAGGCAAATTCTAATTTTTACTCACAGGTCTTGCTGGCTTCGAAGGAATCATATTTGGACACCTGTTTAACGTTGGTCCTAAAATAAACGATGTGGTCGAAAGTGTTCTTTTTGTGTATTGTGGATTTCAGCACAACCGCGGACTGATTGATTTCCTCGCTGAAAATTACTCCTGAAAACAATAAATAAATTTAGAGGAAAAAAAGAAAATTGTTACCTGGACTTTTATAAGTGGAAATGGTAAAGGGGCTTATAATAAACGAAAAAAAAAAATAAATGCGTGAGGAGGGGGCGGCGGAGGGTTGATTCGGGGTGTTGAAAAGTTATGAAAAATTGTATCATTGGGATTTCTGGCGAAAGTTGACGTCAAACCAAAAAAGTATCTAATACAAAAGTTGTAGATCGTGCAAAAATCTACAACTTTTTTTCTGATTTTTCGTTTTTTATTTCTCATTTCCGCAAAAATAATTTAATTTTGACGAAACTTGGTGAAAGTATACCTTTCTCTGTCTTAAATAACCTCAAATTTTTTTAGATAAAAAAATCAAGAAGTTTCTGAGATATTCATTTTTTTCGGCCTGAAACACTTTTTTTTCAAAGAAAAATTCTACTTAAAAAAATCATCGTACAGAGTTCTGCCGGTAATCATTTTTTTCGTTTTGACATATACTTTTTGGTGAAATAAAAAAATCTGTAATAACAGTTCAAAAACATGCTCAAAAATGCAAAAAAATAAAAAATGACTTGCAACAATGAATTTTTCAGTTATTGTTGATAATTTGTTTAAATTAAAAAACATTCAAAAACTGATTACACCATTCAATTCTACGAAAAAAAATAAAAAAAAACTGTGTCTCATTGTTTGACCCAAAACTTTATTTTTGTACAGTATTGCTATAAACATCTAAGTCGAATTACAAATGCACAAATGATAAATTATCTCTGGATGATTTGAGATTTCAGCAATACAAAGTATTAACTGCAAAGTCTACTGTTGACGCGAAATCCGAAAACCCGAAATTTTGCAAAATCGTTTTATTTTTTTTCTGGCTTTATTTGAAAACGAATTTTAAATAAATTGCATATTTACATTGCCACTTTTTTCGCTCTATCCAATGGCGTCAACATTTTTGCAATCCGACGTTTCGTCTTCGAGGGGCCATCATCAGATTAATTTTTTTAAATATATCGCTGCTATTTTTATGACAAAATCTAGTCATTTTTAATTCTGTATTAGATGATATTACTATTGTAATCGCTTAAAAAGGTTTTTAGCTATCATTAAAAATTTTTCCTGAGTACGGCTCTGAACGCTTTCAAAATACCTGTATCTATTGGAAGAGAGAGAGAGAGAGGAGAGAATAAAAGTCAATACAGCACAAAATATCTAACAATTTTTTTTAATCCATAATTTAAAAAGTTGTACCTAATAAAAAAATAATACGAATTTATGAAATATTTTATTATTTCTAATTAGTATTGCTAACAGTAGTAAAAAATTGTTGGATATTTTGTGCGGTATTGACTTTTATACTGTTATGACTTCATCCAATAGATATTTTGAAAGCGTTCAGAGCCGTACTCAGGAAAAATTTTAAATTATAGCTAAAACAAGCTAAAACCTTTTTAAGCGATTACAATAGTAATATCATCTAATACAGAATTAAAAATGACTAGATTTTGTCATAAAAATAGCAGCGATATATTTAAAAAAAATTATCTGATAATGGCCCGTCGAAGACGAAACGTCGGATTGCAAAAATGTTGACGCCATTGGATAGAGCCAAAAAAGTGGCAATGTAAATATGCAATTTATTTAAAATTCATTTTCAAATAAAGCCAGAAAGAAAACAAAACGATTTTGCAAAATTTCGGGTTTTCGGATTTCGAGTCAACAGTAGACTTTGCAGTTAATACTTTGTATTGCTGAAATCTCAAAACATCCTGAGATAATTTATCATTTGTACATTTGTACATTTGTAATTTGACTTAGATGTTTATAGCAATACCTGCTGTACAAAAATAAAATTTTGAAACACAGGTTTTTTTATTTTTTTCCGTAGAATAGAATGTTATAATCAGTTTTTGAATGTTTTTTAATTTAAATAAATTATTAACAATAACTGTAAAATTCATTGTTGCAAGTCATTTTTTAATTTTTTGCTTTTTTTATTTCACCAAAAAGTATATGTCAAAACGAAGAAAATGATAACCGCAGAACTTTGTACATGATTTTTTTAAGTAGAATTTTTCTTTGAAAAAAATGTGTTTCAGGCCGAAAAAAATTAATATCTCAGAAACTTCTTGATATTTTTAGCTAAAAAAATTGAGGTTATTTAAGATAAAGAAAGGTATACTTTCAGCAAGTTTCGTCAAAATTAAATTATTTTTGCGGAAATGAGAAATAAAAAACGAAAAATCAGAATGTTTTTCGCATTTTTCTCGGAAATTTTGAGGTTATGTTAAAAATAGACCTCTATATTTTTTAATGACAACTTTTGTATTGGATACTTTTTTGTTTGACCTCAACTTTCGCCAGAAATCCCAATGATACAATTTCTCATAACTTTTCAACCCCCCAAATCAACCCTCCGCCGCCCCTGCTCGCGCATTTTTTTTTTTTAGATTTATTATAAGCCCCTTTACTATTTCCACTTATAAAAGTCCAGGTATCAATTTTTTTTTCTCCGAGTGTAATTTGGTTGGACTAAAAGGATTTATTTGTGTTCTAGATGTCCTCAATCGTTGATAGAAGTTATAAGGGACATATTGGAAATTTAATTCAATAAGAATTAATACAACTAAATGAACATATGTTTCGGGTGCCAATATAAGTTGTTATTGTATTCTTTAACACAGTTTCTTCAAATGTTACTAAATAGTAGTAATCAAATTGTTTAATACTTTTAGTGGAATATGAGTTATTTTTGTATCTGTATCTCCGTTTCTAATTAAGACAAAGATTAAATATATCTTAATGGTTAAATTTAAAGTGGCTTTATTATTTTAAATAAACAATGTGTTTACGAATTTCTTGCCAAATAACTCATTCATTGGGGACTTGTACTGAAATATTTACACTCTTAAATGTTTACTAGAATCAGTTTTTATTTTTCTGTGCAGAAACGTGACACAAATTAATTCTAAAAATTATATATTCCCCGACAAACATATTTACGTACTACTATTGTCAAGAATTTGGAAGCTTACATAGACATTTTACATATTTGCGACGGTTTTTTTTTAGTACACTAGAGATGACCTGATTTGTACGTGTAAAAAATTCCGCTACAGTGATGGCAGATTTGGGGAGTTTTCCTAAATTCTAGACAAAAATGTGAAACGAGGGAAATAGGAAATTTTTACATGACATCTAGGCATTTTGTGTTTCTGTGCAAAATAAGCAATTCCTTTTTCCATAGGTGCCAATTTGGTAAATCACTGCATTTTGTTTGAGATGACAGTGGGATGTTCAAATTTTAATGTAACTTTACTAATGTAATGCTTAACTTCATAAATGCTCAGTCCATTAATATACAGGGCCTTTATTAAGTACTTGTACAAACTTTAAAGGGTGAATCTTTGACTAATTTCAAGATAAAAAGTTCATATGTACATAGGTCCGCAACAGCTTGGTTCTTGAGATAGAGAGCGTCCAAAAAAATTGTTTCAGCTATTATTGTAAATGTTATTAACTTATTTGTAGGAGTAGTTTAGTCTTAGTCTTGTAAATGTACATATTTAAGTGTAAGTGATTGTTTTGTTAATTTATACCTGTTTATTTCTATGTATGTATGTATGTATAATTCAAAAGTAGTATTTGATTCTTAGTAAAATTAGAATTTATGTTCCGTGAATGAATTTTAAGCTTTTATAAATTTCGCGGTCACAACAAGTTATAACATGATCCCCTTTTTTAGGTAGCAAATAAACATAAATGGAAACTTATCTGAACATTTGCGTTTTTAATTTCAACCGCTTTAACACGACATTTTAAAAGGATTCAAAATAGCCTCACCTATAGTAGCGGACTCATTGGCCAGACAGAAATATTGGTACGCCACGAAGACGAGCAGCCACAACACATTTTGGAGAACGATCTTCATTTTTAAAAATTTAACTAAAACTTGAAAACAAACATTGTCGATATGACTGTCGGAGCGACTGGAAGTAGCTGTAGTGAGAAGAACGCTGTTTTCCACTTGGTCATCTGCCAGCTGGATTTTTTCATAAATAGAACAGAATTTCTAACGTCAGTTATAAGTAATATTATAATTATCAAAATTATTTTCACTTACATTTTCTATATGCAGAATTATGTATAATAATTCATATTAATTACATAGTACCCTTGATATATACAGGGTGATTCAGAACTTACCCAAAAAAAAATTCTGGATGTACAGGGGACCCTTACAAATACAATTTTGTAAAGAAAAAATCAAAAAGGGTAGTTCGAAAATGATTTAAAAATACACTTCTGCACGGCACTGGAAACTGGTCCACTGTGTGATAAAAACGGACAAAAACTTTCGCAAGGAAAGAAATATGTAAATAGAATTTTATCGCACCTATTTTATATCGGCAAATTCAACTGCTTTTGCCTTTATTAATTAATAAAATTAATTTGCGTTTTTAAATAATAAAATCATTTGACATACCCGATGTTACAACAATCAAATTTTATCCACCGATGTGTAAACACATTTGGGTCCGTTGTACTCAGTTTCTACGAACTAAAACAAATGTTGTCTTGTTTCACCATAACACAAATGCTTCACCATAAATTAAAACGATATCCATCAACTCCGAGTACACGCAAACAATTTTGACACTAACTACCCATTTTTGACACTAACTACTAAAAACCTATTGTAAACGTCACAGATAACAGGTAAGTATCGCAACGACGATTGCAAAATCCGAATTCAATATTCGGAGTCGCTGAGGCCATGTGGCGAATGACGCTAGAGACTACAGTTGTCCAGCTATGTAGTGGTTGAATGTACTATAACTTCAATATTTTTTTTCTTGGAAACTATAATGATTTTACAAAATTTTTTTTACGATATTCATTCCATCTGCTGCTGCATCTATTCCCAAATTTTTTTGGATAAGTTGTGAATCACCCTGTATACACTCAAGGGTAGTACTAATAAGATGGGACCGATATTCTAATATGTTTTCCTGAACATCTGTTCATTTATCTAGCAATTGCATTTTTTAAATATGTATTCATCTTTAAGATAACGTTAGCCAGTTACTAAAAAGAGAGTGATAATTTAATAAGAACTTTTATTGTCTAAGCAGCCAAACAGTTTTTTTTTATTAAATCCTTTATATGTTTTTGCAGATGGTGCTACAAACCTGTATTTGTCTATGAAGTCAAATATAAACACAGTATTGAAAATATTTGTCCAAGGATTCCTGAAAACTTTGCTTTAAAAATAGTAAATTATTTTAATTCTGAGTTCGTTCAAAACAATAACATTTGTACAGGATGTCTGCAAATTTAGAGAAAATATTTGAACAGAAATTAAACCGAGTTGTGAGTTGTGAACACTCGATTGGCAGAAATATTTTATATATATATAAAGATTTTTTTAAATATTTTCTGACTTACCACATTGATACGACGAAAACTTTTTTGGAACCGCTGTGCTGACTCCGCTTCTATGTTTATATTTTATTTTATAATTTTCGCAATAAATAACGCATGTTTCGCTAATGAAAACTAATGAAGAACAAGGTGCAATAGGGTAAATTAAAGTTACTTTTTAATTCAGTACAAAAATGCTTTACTTTCTTTTTTACGTTTAGGCTATTATGCTATCATCAGAAAAAAAGAAAAATGACAAAGAAATTGCAGCATAAACTTCAACATTATAATATTTGTTTAAATATGAAAATATCAGTATATTTTTAAATAACTGTTGTCATCCTAATGAATTGATGACAATAACTAGCAACTTTTTTATGTTTAATCCATAGAAACTTGACAAAAAAAACAAGCGTACAACACGCCATTTACGGTCACCACTATTCACCACTTTTTGTGCAGTATGTAGGTCGGGGACGATTCCAGAAGTTCTCAATAGGTTTTAATAATTTTGATTATTATTGATTTTGAACACCGTTTAGCAGTTTCAATTATTTTGATTAGTGAAAACGATTGTTAATAGTGCATGTAAAAAATAAGATAAGTAACTATATCGCATCAAAAAAATATTTTAATGTTGGTTTTAGCTTTATCTAAATTAAAATTTGATTAAGATATCAAGATGCGACGAACTACTAAAACCTGGAGTTGAAGCGTCATTGTAAAGAATCCTGTTGGTAATTTCATTTTTATTACTTAAACTGTCAGTAATGTAATTTTCTGCAATTGTGGCTGATTTCTACCCACCATGTCTCTTGATTGTTAATACATCAACTCCTGTATTAGCCAGTAACGTTGCCGATGTTTTTCGGACTGAATGGCGTGTATATGATTCAGGATGTTCTAGTTTAAAAAACTGTGCATTTTTATTAGGAATCATAGAAAGATTGCAAGATTTCGTATAATGTCAAAATGAATCGATTAAAAAATTTCAAAAAATAAAACCCAATATTTATTTCATGAACCATTAAGAACTGTGGGAGCAGATAAAATGTTATACACCACGCAGCAGTTAAGTATAATTCACCAGTCTCGGACTCTATTTAATTTAAAAAAAATTCAGAAACTATTTCCGGAATGCTTTTCCCCAAGTACTACATTCTTCACAAAAACGTAAATTTGTCCCCTATTTAAAATATTGTGTTTTTAGAGATTGTTCTTTCTTTTTAATTCCTCCTTTGTTCAGGGACATAACATTTTCATTTATAAAATCTATGACATACTGACGTGGACCAAAAAGTCAGGAACCGGTATATGTCTGGTGGGTTCGGTTGACGAATGATCCTAGCTGTTTAATAGTTGCGCGTATAATTCAATGGTGGTCGGAGCCTTAGTCCGCTGAGTAGTTGTTTCATGCAATATCATCAGTTATAGTAGAACCGTTTTAAGATTGCCATTACGTCACGCGTGTGTTCTAATATCAAAGACAGTCGTTGCGGACGTGTATTCATTATTAAACGCGCTAAAAAGAGATACAATGATAGTATAAATGTCTTCATAGTCTCAGTCTATCACAGACAACCGTTCCAATATTTTATGTGTATTAGAGTGAAAGAAAATGTAGGGTATTAATTTTAGACTGTAGTTTGACTAGCGCATTTAAAAACTGAACTGACACTCAGATTAAAAATTTGACAGTTGGTTTGATCGCGTCTCCGTACTAACTGTTATATATATTTTCTGAGCTTTGAAATATCGATTTTTTGGCATATTTTCATATCCAGTAACACCAGTATTAAAATTTGTCAGAAATCCAGATATGGCAATTGTCAAGATGACATTTCAATTATATGAAAACAGTGACTAATTTGACTATGATTTTTCGTCTTACTTCATACGAATATTGCTTGTTACGCAATGGAAAAGATACAGCGGTTTTAGTTTAGTCATATGCCGTGACGCGATTTCAAACATAAAAACTGCTAGAAAATAATAGAAATAGTAATACCAACACTCGATTATTTTTCCTTATTAATTTTAATGAAAATTATTAAACAGTGTTATTACAGTATTATCGACTATAATAAGCAAACAGGGATAATTCTATTATTGTTTCTCTTGCACTGCCGAGAGTGGAGCACTTAGGGATTCCTGCTTTGTTCTCTTCTTCGTTATCCAGACCTTGCAAGCGAACTTCAATTCCATTTTCAAGGCTTCCCCATACGTTATCTGGATAAAAAAGTTAATATACAGCTTCTGACGAAAGGTGTAGTGAAAGCAACTTTATTTATAAAATTTTAAATGAATTAGTTTAATATGTTAGTGTAAGTGTGCCCTTAACTTACATGTGCCTCAGCAGATACATTTCTGACGTTCCATAAGAACTCAATTGTGGCTAGTATAATCGCTATCACTATCCCAACACCCAGTAGGTAAAACACATCGCAAGTATCAGCCAAAGTCAGTTGCCCACCATTCGATTCTTCCTCGGTATCGAACTAAAAATCAAAATAATGGAAGAAAAAATTTAGTCGTTTTATACAGAGTATAAAAATATATAAGAATATAAATGTCAATCTAATTTCCGACAGGAGAAGACGTAGGTGCAGTAATTCAACACATGCAATACATTTAAATGTTGTAAAAATATATAGNATCTTGCGTCCATTTCTAAAGTAGGACTCTATGATAAACACTTTTTATTTTTGAGAAAACACCATTTTAAACGCTTTTTAAAACGAAAATATTCAAATTGATAGCGGCGATATAGCGCTTTGACAGATGACGTTTAAGCAGAGAAAACTATATCAACATTGGTATAGTGTTCTCTGGTTTAAGTTCATTTGCTATACGCTGCGCCCTACGTTCAAATTTTCAGAACCAACTTGACCACGTTTTTATTTGAACGCTCGTTATAAATGTCTTCATAGTCTCAGTCTATCACAGACAACCGTTCCAATATTTTATGTATATTAGAGTGAAAGAAAATGGAGGACGTTTGTTGGATATTAATTTTAGACTGTAGTTTGACTAGCGCATTTAAAAACTGAACTGACACTCAGATTAAAAATTTGACAGTTGGTTTGATCGCGTCTCCGTACTAACTGTTATATATATTTTCTGAGCTTTGAAATATCGATTTTTTGGCATATTTTCATATCCAGTAACACCAGTATTAAAATTTGTCAGAAATCCAGATATGGCAATTGTCAAGATGACATTTCAATTATATGAAAACAGTGACTAATTTGACTATGATTTTTCGTCTTACTTCATACGAATATTGCTTGTTACGCAATGGAAAAGATACAGCGGTTTTAGTTTAGTCATATGCCGTGACGCGATTTCAAACATAAAAACTGCTAGAAAATAATAGAAATAGTAATACCAACACTCGATTATTTTTCCTTGTTATTTTTAATGAAAATTATTAAACAGTGTTATTACAGTATTATCGACTATAATAAGCAAACAGGGATAATTCTATTATTGTTTCTCTTGCACTGCCGAGAGTGGAGCACTTAGGGATTCCTGCTTTGTTCTCTTCTTCGTTATCCAGACCTTGCAAGCGAACTTCAATTCCATTTTCAAGGCTTCCCCATACGTTATCTGGATAAAAAAGTTAATATACAGCTTCTGACGAAAGGTGTAGTGAAAGCAACTTTATTTATAAAATGTTAAATGAATTAGTTTAATATGTTAGTGTAAGTGTGCCCTTAACTTACATGTTCCTCAGCAGATACATTTCTGACATTCCATAAGAACTCAATTGTGGCTAGTATAATCGCTATCACTATCCCAACACCCAATAGGTAAAACACATCGCAAGTATCAGCCAAAGTCAGTTGCCCACTATTCGATTCTTCCTCGGTATCGAACTAAAAATCAAAATAATGGAAGAAAAAATTTAGTCGTTTTATACAGAGTATAAAAATATATAAGAATATAAATGTCAATCTAATTTCCGACAGGAGAAGACGTAGGTGCAGTAATTCAACACATGCAATACATTTAAATGTTGTAAAAATATATAGGATAAGTACAAGATGTACAGTGTCAAATACGAATAAAAATTAATGAATAATTAATTAATTATTTGTGCGATAGTGTTTACATTAGTTTTTTAGTTTTTCAAGTGTCAAAAATGGCTTATATCAACTCGAATTAATGGATATCGTTTTAATTTATAGTGAAGCAAGACAACATTTGTGTTAGTTCGTAGAAACTGGGTAAGGAACAAAACAAAAACAGTTGAATTTGCTGATATAAAATAGGTATATAACATTTAAATTTTTTGTCCGTTATTTTTTTATGCATGCTTTGCCTTGCGCAATGTCAGGTTTTATAGTGGACCAGTTTCCTTCCAGTGATGTGCAGATCTGTATTTTTAATTTTTAATTTTCGAACTGCCCATTTTAATTTTTTTTTACAAAATTATATTTGTAAGAGGGTGTCTCAAACTCGATAGTATGAGGCTACTGTGAGGATACAAAAAATCAATTAATCAATTATATTTTTTCCAGAAACATACTCAATTCTTTGCCTGTTAAAAAGCTCTCTTTTTTCTAATTAACTTTTACGAGGGAAATTTTTCTGTATTAGTTCCCGTTTAAAAGTTATAAGCAATATCGTTCTAAAGAGTCTCAAAATAAATACCACCTAAAAATCACATTAGCAGTGGAAGGATCACGAACATTCAATTATTTTCCAACGACTACTTGATTCTTCCACCGCTAATGTTTTTAGCTGGTATTTGAGACTCTTTAGGACGATATTGCTTATAACTTTTATAGGGGAAGTAATATAGGAAAATTTCTCTTGCAAAAGTGTATTAGAAAAAAGAGAGGTTTTTAACAGGAAAAACATTTGGGTATGTTTTTGGAAAAAATATAACTGATGACGTTATTAGTCGTTTCTGACAAATCCCAAAGATAATACTTTCGATTGAAAATGGAACTTACCTCATGCTATTTAACACGTCTCCAAAATTTTACTTAAATTTTTTGTATCCTCGTAGTAGTTCTAAGAAATTTTAAAATCTTGCGAACTCGTATGGTTGACTTGCGAAAGGTCACAATTCGCCGTAACAACTGTTTATAAAACAGGTATATCCTTACTGATTTTATACTGTCTCAAAAATATTAATTAATACGGAATTATTTGAAAATTTTGATAAATAACCCGTTAAAAAAATATCAGTTGCTTTTTAACAATTTGTACACATTGAAATGAAGTTTTCATCACTTGATTCAGTTTGTTTTTTATGTGTTATTGTGTTAAACAAAGTAATAAAAACAATTACAATTGACTCACGTTCTCACATGAGGGTTCGTTTCTGTTTTCCTTCCACCACTTATTTTTCAAATCGTTCAACCTTCCACTTTCATGAAGTTTCAAAATGGCCTTATTGATAGCACTTCTATAAGGCGCATCTACAAAAAATTCTCTTAGCAAACTTATTACTNGTTTAAATTACAAATGGCGTGGGCGGCGTTGCGGAACAGCCCCGTTAGATGGCAATGGTCTTTAACCTTGACCTGAAGGTCATCAAAAGGTCGATCACAAATATGACAGTAGTAGGTAGTGGGACACTTGTGCCAGACAGACATAGACAGTCGCGGCACAAATGCCCCACTGCGCATGCACGTAATTCATTATTACTACATACCTTGTTGACCTAGTCTCTTCATTAAACCCTGGACTACCGGTACGTGTCGGAAGTCGATGCCCCGATAACCAAAATCATCTGGTAGCGGAGAGACAGGTAGTTGTAAGTAGGACCAATATATGAGTACGGTACAGACCCAGACATTAAAATATTTTTTGGTAGAGACTAAACAGATAATTATAATTGCGGACCAGCGTGACATAACAGATATATTAATTGAACCGGAAACGCTACCGAGAGAGCGGCTATAAATAGAATATATAGGAAGATATACAGGGGGCTCTGTAATCACGTGTACAAATTGATTATATCTATAAACCACCGAGTCGATATGGTATTTGAAAACACAAAACAAAATCTACGATTTATATATCATTTAATAATTTCCTAATCGTGTTGTTTAATTTTATTTAATATATTTAATTCATATAGGTATATGATAGGTACCAGCAATTATAGTATAGACTTCACATCAAATACATTAATTGAAATAGGGAAATATAAAACTGGGTAATTAGAAAATAAGATAATTTAAGTAAAATTAATTAATTTGGTAAATGTAAGTATATTAAAATGCCTTAAACACAAAATCGGGGTAAACGCTATGATAAGTATTTAAAAAAAAGAAATTTAATTGCAACCTACACGAATTTGGTATTAACGGGTTAGGTATATAGAGAATGTTGTGTTGAAATAGGAAGTTTTACTGAGAGAATAGTCTATAAATAGAATATATGTGAAGATATACAGGGGGAATGTAAGCACTGTGTACAAATTGAACTATATTTACAAATCATTAAGCTGATAGGGTATTTGAAAAACACAAAACTAAATTATATACTTTAATATTTTCCTAACAAGATTGTTTTATATAATTTATTTAATTCATAGACCAGTAATTATAGTATAGGCGTCACAACAAAATACATTAATTGAAATAGGGCTATATAAAACAGATAACAACAAAAATGTGATAATTTAAGTAAGAATTGATTAATTTGGTAAACGTATATTAAAACAGCGTAAAACACAAAACTGTAGTAAAAGTATTTTTTAAAAAACTAGCGTTAATTGTAACCCACACGAATTCGGTATTAACAGATTGTTAGGTATACAGAATGTTGGGTTGAAATAAGAAACGTTACCGAGAGAGTGGGCTATAAATGGAATATATGTGAAGATATACAGGGGTCTGTAATCACGTTGTATGTTTACAAACAGATTGTTAGGTATACAGAATGTTGGATTGAAATAAGAAACGTTACCGAGAGTGTGGTATATATAGAATATATATGAAGATATACAGGTGTCTGTAATCACGGTGTATGTTTACAATTCATCTGATAGGGTATTTGAAAAACACAAAACAGGATCTATAAATTATAGACCGTTTAATAATTTTCAAAATAATTTTTACTTTTAATTAACTGGTAGGCAGAAAGTTATAGTTATAGGTGCCACAACAAAATACCTAGGTATATAAAAAATAAGTAACTACAAAAATGTGATAATTTTCAATTTCCAATATATTTATGAACTAAATAAAAATACATGATTTTCAACAGTTTAAATCAAATATTCAAGACTGTGTATTTTGAGAGGCCCCCAACTATTATTTTAAAATAGTATATACACGTATCAGAAACTCTAAAATAGAACCGAAAACTGTCAAAAGCTTATTATAGACTAATACAACACTTCAAGTAAGAAAAGAATCAGAATCAGAAAAGATTATAATTTATCGTGTACCTACCTATTGTATGTGGTACGTGTATAAAAATATAAAACGTTGTAATTTAAAAGTTAATAGATATGTAAAAATAAAAATAACAATCACCTCTAACAGCTCATTTAATTCAAACATTTTATTATGAGTTCCTTCGAGGTATTCTTACTGTTCATTTTACCTTAAAGTAAAATACTTAAAATATATCCTAATGTTTCCTCTTATGCTTAATTCAATTCTGTATTTTTAAATTTTTAAGTCCTTTACCAGAGCGTAAATCTGAAGAAGAAAAACGAACAGGATCAAATCTTGACTACAAATGAATAGAGGCTTATTCCACTCTTACATAAATATGTAACTATAGTAATTATCATAGGCAGCTCGACGCTTCAGGTAAGACAATAATTTGGGTATATCAAAAAACAGACATAATTATCAAAAATCTGGAGAGGAAACTTTACGTTTTAAATCTTACTATTATAAATTAGAATAATACATCAAATATATCAACGGGGTGCTCGCTGTAAGACAACGGTATATGTTTATTAAGGAAATAACATATCAGGTGAACATGTTTCCACCGACCTAAGCAAGAGAGTGTGTGCTATAAACTGAACACAGGTGAAAATATACAGGGGTTCTGTAAATATTCATTACAAATTGAGCTATATTTACAAAACAAACAGTTGATATGTTTTTTTCGAAAAACAAAGCTACAATAAAATATTAAATCATTTTCCAAAAAATATTAGGGTATAAACGATATTTAAATAACTGAGATATACTCGTAAATAATAACTCCAAACATATTAAGACAAAACCTAGTTCGTTCTTAATACATTCAGACCTTTTCCACGTCCCTACCACTGAGGAAAGGCTAAGGGACCGTTAGTTTAAGGGATTCTCCAAATATATACGTTAATGTAGTAATCTACAATAAATATATATTCAGACCTAACCCATACAAAAATTAACTAGACGATTAGGACATATTATATGTATAATTTGTTTAAATTAAGTAAGAGAATAGGTAAGAAATATGGTTTCAGGTAAGTACAAGTTTTCCTCCTGTAGAATCAATCATTATTTCATACGGTTTAACCTACAGAGCTTATTGTATTATGTTTAAAATACAGTTTCATATTTAAATTTCCATCTTGCGAGAAGCTGAAATTAATATATTTATTTATGGCACGAATAGTACATTGTATCAATTATTCGATTGGAATTCCATTCTCACCCCATTCTATTCTCCATTCTCGGGCAACTGCTTTATAAGCTCTTTAATCTGGTTTAAAATAAGTGGGACACAATTAATATAAAAAAAGGGGGTAAATCAAACGAGCCTGCTCTTACAAAGGTACCTCTAAACTCATTAATTGGATAATAACCTTTTCTCTAAAAAATATAAATTACCGTCGATATACCGTAAAACACTATCAAAATTACTATCTCTCCAGAAGATCTTTGATATAGAAAATCTGTAGGCTTTATGTTAGTATATGACGAGACCAGGATAGGGGTCCATAACTAAAATCTTTTAATTGATTACCCAAACCCACTCTTGTTTAAAAATATAGAAATGATGGTTGGATGGAGGGGTGATGGGTCGGTAGGGGTTGATTATGTGCTGTTACCTCTGGGGTTTTTGCGGGTAGGTGTGGCCGTTGTTGTTGTTGGGCTTGGTACAGATGGTGTAGTTACAACTGGTGTAGTTTCTATCGGAGCCCCCGTATAAATAGTGAATGGCTTGTATATCATCCTCTCCCCCAGAAAAAACCTTCTTTGAACCAGGGATACATAACAGCTTCGTAATTATCAGAATGTGATAACCCCCAAGGTGGATTTTCAATACAGTCGTCATTGCCCATAGGGAAATAACCATGACCTAACACAGGGTCCGTCAAGCGGTTTTAAATGATTTCCATTCATACACTTCCTATGGTTTGAATGAGAGCCATTAGTGAATAATATTACAATATCCACCTCGCTTTTTCTAAAAGTAAAAGATGATACGTTGGCCCACATAGCAAAAGCTTTCTCAGCTATCAAAACATCTGTATTCGTACCCTTGTAAAAATGCCACAGTAGTTTGGATTTACGCCATTTAGAACTGCTCGCTCTAAACGGTTTGGGGTTATCTCCTAAAACACAACGTGGTAATCTCATTATGCTTAAGGTCTCGTTGTTCAAAACGCCCCTTTCTTTAATATGTACAAATTCCTGAAACCTCAGTAAGCCTTCTGTAATATTTAGGTTTGTTACATCGGTGGAATTGTCTTCTATGTACCCATATTGTATCAAATATTGGATAGCATATTTTATATCAGCTTGTACACCTTCTGTTGCCGAATTAAGTTTAATCGTAATCACAAAAACAAAAACACTATACCGACCATTTTGGCAGCAAGGTTCTTGGTATAAAGAAGATGAACAACAACTACTGTATAAATGCTAATCACACTGTATATATATATTTATGAAATAACTTGACACTATTTGAAAATAATTTATTTATTAGAAACTACTTTTGTTGCACCGTGGCAAGGATATGTTGTTATATCTATATTCGAAAATTTTGTTAACTTTCCGAACTGCATAGTTACACGTGGAGCCAATATATGCTTTGTTGCAAGTAGGGCTTTACGTAATTTTTTTGTTTTTGATAAAGAGATTTTGTTTGGGTATACAAAATCGTAAAAGTATAAACATAATAATTATACTTTCTACCCTATGTAGGTAATACAATGTATACATAACTACTATACTTTTTTGTTAATAAATTAATATCACCAAACATCAGAATAATAGTAAATCATTATAAAGAAGTAGATGAAGTTTTTGCTTCACTTAATCAGCTGCGACCCCTGTCACTATATCAGCGGCAATAAAAAACACCAACTACCAAAAAAAAAAAGCTGAATAACTAATTAAAACTGCATTCAACAGCCAAGTTAATAATACCCTGTTCGGGGTTATTGGCTCGGACAGTTTATTTCTTTTTGTTGGAAAACCAGATATCGTTTACTCTTCTACATTAAGTGCAACAGACCTCAGTGTGTTGTTGTGCACGTGTTTGCTAACTTGGTAAGTAAGACCTCAGTAATATAATGGTATAGAAATTTTGGAAAAACTTTTTAATTAGTACATGTTTGGCAATTAAGTAAAGGGTTTCTCAGAATTGGGGTTGGGACCGAAAGAGGTCTAAAAACTATTATATTGTTAGTGTTTCCCGTTAAGATAATGAAATTAATTATACAAAATTTCTGGTTAAATAGTTGGATAATATAGTCTTGGGAAAAAAACAATAAAAAAGGTTGAAAACCCTTTAGGTATTTCTGCTCAAAGCTTTCGAGAAAACCATTTTCTTCTTTTGGAGTTCTACAATTTTACAAAAATTTTAATTAGTACACTATAGTTGAATTACACAAAAAAAAGGGGTGATTTACGAAATGCGAGGTTCACAATGAATTTGACATGTTGAAAATACATAACAATCAAATTATAAACATTCACTTGGAGTACCAAGGAAAAGACTGATTGTTATTCGATAGAGTGGACTGTATAAACTCTTGTGCTGATTTGAATAATTTTCTTTATTTACCGAACGTTGTACAACTAAACAGATAGATTAATAGAATTTTTATTTGATTTTTCAACAACAACTTTTTTTTATTTTCGTGTTGCTCTGCAACCGTCTCTATACAAACTTAGATCATATAAAATGTATTAACATACAAAAAAAACTTTACCACTGATATTATTTAAAAAAAACAGACTGTAACCGCATAAACGAATAAAAAAACAGGTCAACATTTTACATTTTAAAAATATTGTTGTCAAAAAAAATTGTTTAAAATTATTAAAATTAAGTACTTAAGTACTACTTTGGTTAATGCGATACTAATTCAATATGGTCTTAAATCTATAAAATTGGTTGATTTTTCATTAAAAGCGATTTAAATTTTTAATACAGTGGGAAACGTTTATAATTATTTTAATATGTACATATTAAACTTCTATTTTAGGTTTTGCAGGGTCGCGCCCAGTACCTAACAATAAAACAAGATTACAAAGTATTTTAAAAGTTCTCAACTATCTTGCTATTATTTTCTCTACAAACCATAATAATAAGTATGTACCGTGGCATAATATAGTACTCATAAGTTAAAAAAAAGAACGCAGTCTGAGAGAAAAACAATTCCTATACAGGGGTGTAAATGATAAGTTTAGCCAAACTTTAATGGCGTATTCTACCGATAATCAAGTTTTGCCCTATAAAAATGTTTGATAGGAAATATTTATATTATTTTTCCTGTAACTTCATTGACAAAAAAAAAGAACATTTTGAACATTTATTGTGATGTTGTGTAGTGTTTTGAAATCTTTCTGTATATTAAGATCTATATAGCCTGCAAACTTTTAATTACGTATCTGCATATATCTGCATATCAGCTTTTTTTTTTTGAAACACTACTTTTGTTGCTTGTAATATTTTTATAAACTAATTGTATTTTAAGAAAAAGTATTTAAAAACAAGTCAGTAACTTTTGACCAACAATTACTTTAGCATTTATTATTATATTGTCTACATTATTGGAAATTTATATTTAAATAATATATCTTAGCATAAATTATCACATTTTCAGATTTAAAAAAAAGAGTTAAATACTATTTGTACTACTTTCTTATACATATATGTTAATAAAAACCAAGATATACATATAACCTTTTGTATTGAAATAGATATTAAAGTAGACCTAGTGAAGACCTATTCATTTTATATTTTAAACCTAATATCTATATAAAACAAAATATGTAAAATGTGAATAGCACAATTTAGTTTTATTCTTCCCGTAGGTACTCAATTTAACAGTGGCGTATGTAAAATTACAATTAGTTAGAACATGTCAGTCTCCCAGCAATTGTCTGTTTTTAAATTTTCATGTAAAGTAAAATATATTAAATACTTAAGATTTAGTTTAAAATTGGTATAGAGCCACAAAAAATGACCCACACAGAAGTGAAATATTAATCTGAAATTCCGATTTGTGAACATAATTTACTAATTTAACATAGGAATGTATACATTATATTTAACACTCTGCATTTAAGATTAATTTTCATCTTTTAATAACGTAAAAAGTAACATTTTAACGTACATCTACATATACGTATCTACATATTAAACCTATATTATTGGGATTAAAAATACTTTCTTACAAGTCAAACTATATTTGAAAAACGTAATTGAATTTATTGTTGATAGTGTGCTAGGGAACCGTTTCTACCCTGATTGTTTTTTGTACCTACAGCAAAACTTAAATTTAAAACACATTTTCTAAAATAAACCTTATATAAATAAAACGAAAATAATTTGCTTCCAAGTAGTAGGACAAATAATATTGTGGTAATAGTAACAATAAATTAAACAATACATATACAATAAAATAAATATGATGCAACTGGCCTTCAAGTTATCAGCATACGAGGTCAACAATAAATAATGTAGCATTGCTTGGACCCTATACGATGCAAATTTTGACTCATGTAACAATATATTTCCATAAATTGGATGTAAGCTTTCGGTTATTTAAAATTTATTAAAATGATGATATTTGCAGAATTGCAAAAATTTATAAAAGTATCACAAATATAAAATTAAAATTCAAACAGTAGCAGTTTTACCAAAAAATTATTATGTAGTTTGGCATTCCTTGACAAAGGACCCCGCACTTTTCTTATGAAAAGTGGTTTCACAAGAATTTAAGAAAGAAGACGTTTTTTTCAATTTAAGATTTATATCCTAACGTCTGATCCAATGTTTAGTTATTAAGTTGACATACTATAAATAAAAAAAAGTTTTCAATACGCGACCTGCGAGGGGCGTCTGCACCCCCGGCGGAAGCTTTCTTGGCAGCCCCTGACAATTAGCTTAATTAAATTTATTTTATCTATACATACCCACCTACAAACTAATACAAAAATAGGTATCTGGACTAACGCACACAATTCGTAGGTATTAATATTAATATATATTAGGATTACTTAACAATATCAAACACCTCATTGATTGAATTTTATTGATATCGTTCCATGTTTAAAACTTATACAAATTTATAATAAATAACTATAAATACATTATTGCAATTTCTGAAGTTTCTGTCTGTGAAAAGCCGCATAACCATAATAATTATACTGTGTCAACAACAATAAACGAAATAATACAGTTTTGGTTTTGTGTAGTTTTCCAGAATTTTCTTTAAAACTTAATTTGTAAAATAAATATTTACTGTAATACCGTAAAATAAATACTTGTTACTATGTGAACTGACGTTCCTGCAACTATGAAATCATTCGGGTTTACTATTTTTATCAGGTACTATTATTAATAAATGCTTATTTTCATCCTTTCTACAATTAGCTGCACAGAGAATAGTTATTTCAGACGAGGTTACCTTACCATGTGGTCGACCAACGGCTTACAGGGGAGAAAAGTGTTTTTTTTGTCGGCATTTTAAACATTGAACTTAAATTCCTAAATAAATTTTATTGATTTTAGCTTTCCCTGAGCATGTGGTTAAAATTTTTTTTGTACTTAGTGACAGTTAATCGTGCATCTGTACATAGCATAACAAGAACGAAATAGCTGTTATGTTTATTTTTATACAATATTAAGGTTGTGGTTTTTGTTGCACACACGCTTTCACAACGCATTTGGTATGACTCCCTGCTAGGGTTGCCAGGTCTCTGGGTTTTGATGGTATATCTTCGAGGGGGCTCCGGAATAACATGTCACTTCTCCGGGGTTTCTGGAAAAATCGTGATTTCTTCAAAAATATTTGCCACATTTTACGATTCCGT